TAAAAAATACTTTTAAAATGTTTAAATTTGGATGAATTCGTAAATCCATGAAAAAATCTTTTAATTTTTTTAAATTCAGAAAAAAATATGTATTTTTTTTTAAATCTACATTCGTCTGAAGGATTGCAAAAAATATTTTTTTTTAAATCCATGAATTTTTTTTTAAATCCACGCTTGTAAGAAGTTTAAAAAAAAATTTTTTCAATCGTTTTAAAATACATAAAAAAATATTTATATTTTTGTATTTATATGCCCTTTCCCCTATGGCCTTAGAAAACTGTATAAAAATCGACGTACGTCTGAAGCTGAACAAAAATATTTTTAAATAATCCATGTGTCACTGAAGGCTTGAAAAATATGTTTTTAACTCACTTTTTTTGAAGGTTTGAAAAAAAAAATATTTTTAAAAATTTAAGTTCGTTGAAGGCGTGAAAAATAATTTCAAAGTTTTTTTGTAAATGTGGAGGGATTTTTTTTAAACATTAAAAAATATGTAATTTTTTTAAATCGATAAAAAAATATGTAATCTAAAAAAAATCTACGTTCGTCTAAAAGATTGCAAAAATATGCTTAATTTGTTGTAAATTGATGAAAAAATATTTTTTTATATCAAAAACCTCGCTAGTCAGAAGGTTTTAAAAAATCTTTTTAATTTTTTTTTAAATACATAAAAAAATATTTATATTTTTTATTTATATGTGCGGATTTAAACCTTATTCAAAAATCAATGGTAATCTGAAGCTTCACCAATTTTTTTTTAATTAATCCATGTTGCACTGAAAGCTTGAAAAACATTTTTTTTAAATTTTTAAAAAATCCACTATTGTCTGAAGGCTTGAGAAATATCTATTTATTTATTTATTCATTTATTTTTATTTATTTTTTTTTGAATGTTCACTGACATTTGGCATTCTCATTGGTATTCAAGGTTAATTTTTTTAAATGCATATTTCTGTGAAGGTTTGAAAAAATATTTTTTAATCATCCAAATGCAAAGAGCTTTGGAAAAAAAATATTTTAAAAAATATAAGTTTATAATGAATTTCGAAACAAAAATATTTAAAAAAAAAAATCCGAATAAAAACTTGGAATAATAAAATGAAATTTAAAGGAAGACTTGGGGTCGAATCCCGTTAAATGACCATTAACAAAAAAAAAAATAATTTTTTTTCGTGCAGACCATAAATTTTGAATTTAATTTTCTTAAAAACTATTTTATCTAGATACATAATTTATTTTAAGATTTATAATAAAATTTGGTGTGGAATATTTCTTCTTTTGACAATATTCGCCCAAAACGAAATTTTATGTTATTTTTCAAGTTTCATCTCGAAACATGGCCGAGAAAAAATTGATCAAATAGTTGTGGATTTTTTTCGTTTTTTTTTTTTTTTTTGCAACTTAGAGATTTATTTCCGTTGGTGACTCATAGTGAAATTTGATGTGGAATATTTCCTTCTTTGAGACTTTTCCCAAAATGTGACGAATAAATGGAGATTTTGGCCTAGTTTGAAAACGTGTTAAATTAACATTTAAAAAGTAAACACATGATGTTTTTCTTTTAAATTATAAATTTCGAATGTAATTTTCTTAAAAACTATTGTACCTAGATGTACGGTTTATTCTGAGATTGATGGTGAAATTTGTTGTAGAATATTTCTTCATTTGAAAACTTTCACCTAAAATTAGATTTTATGTTACTTTCAGGGGTCAACTCGAAAAAAGTCCAAATAAAATTTTATAAAAAAATTAGGGAATTTTTTAGTTTTCTTTTTTTAATATTGATACGGATCATTTCTTAATATAGCATGGATATAGAGATTTATATTGATCGGTGACTCATAGTTAAATTTGATATAGAATATTTCTCTCTTTAATACTTTTTACAAAAGGTGACGAATAAATGGAGATTTTACCTTAGATTGGAAACGTGTTGAATTAACAGTAAAATTATTTTTTTTTTTAATTTATAAATTTCGAATGTAATTTTCTTATAAATTATTGTACCTAGATATATGGTTTATTCTGAGATTTAAAGTGAAATTCTGTGTAGAATATTTCTTCTTTTGAAAACTTTCACCTGAAATTAGATTTTATGTTACTTTCAGGTGTCAAATTGAAAAAAGGTCGAGGAAAAATTGATAAGAAATTGGGGAATATTTTCGGTATTTTTGCAACTTTGATACGATTCATTTCTTGATATAGAATGGATATAGAGATATGTTTCCGTTGGTGACTCATAGTGAAATTTGATGTGGAATATTTCCTTCTTTGAGACTTTTCCCAAAAAGTCGCGAAAAAATGGAGATTTTGACCTCGATTGAAAACATTTTAAATTAACATCAGAAAAAGGAAACAAATATTTTTTTCTTTAATTTACAAATTTCGAACGTAATTTTCTTAAACATTATTATACCTAGATATATGTTTTATTCTGAGATTTTTAGGGAAATTTGGTGTAGAATATTTCTTCTTTTGAAAACTTTCACCTAAAATTAGATTTTATGTTACTTTCAGGTGTCAAATTGAAAAAAGGCAGAGGAAAAATTGATAAGAAATTGGGGAATATTTTCGGTATTTTTGCAACTTTGATACGATTCATTTCTTGATATAGAATGGATATAGAGATATGTTTCCGTTGGTGACTCATAGTGAAATTCGATGTGGAATATTTCCTTCTTTGAGACTTTTCCCAAAAAGTCGCGAAAAAATGGAGATTTTGGCCTAGTCTTAAAACGTGTTAAATTAACATTTAAAAAAGCAAACAAGTAATTTTTTCTTTAATTTATAAATTTCGAATTTAATTTTCTTAAAAACTATTGTACCTAAATGTGCGGTTTATTCCGAGAGTTGTAGTGAAATTTGGCGTAGAATATTTCATATTCTAACACCTTCCGCCTAAAATGAAATTTTATCTTATTTTTAGGTCGAAAAAAGGCCGAGGAAAAATTTATAAAAAAATATTGAGGAATATTTTCGGTTTTTTTTTTTTTTTTTTGCAACTTTGATACGATTAATTTCTTGATATACAATGGATATAGAGATATGTTTCTGTTGGTGACTCATAGTGAAATTTGATGTGGAATATTTCCTTCTTTGAGACTTTTCCCAAAAAGTCGCGAAAAAATGGAGATTTTGGCCTAGTTTTAAAACATATTAAATTTACGTTAGAAAAAGGAAACAAGTAATTTTTCCTTTAATTTATAAATTTCGAATTTAATTTTCTTAAAACCTATTGTACCTAGGTTTATGGTTTATTCTGAGATTTATAGTGAAATTCGGTAGAATATTTCATCTTTTATCACCTTCCACCTAAAATGAAATTTAGTCTTATTTTTACGTCAAAAAAAAAAAAAAATAGCCGAAGAAAAATTGATCAAAAATTGGGGAATATTTTCGTTTTTTTTTTTGTGCAATATTGATATGAATCATATCTTGATATGGAATGAATATAAATATTTCTTTCCAATGGTAACTCATAGTGAAATTTGATGTAGAATATTTCTCTCTTCGACAGTTTTCACAAAAAGTGGCGGATAAATGGAGATTTTGGCATAGACTGAAAACGAGTTAAATTAAGAGTAAAAACGGAAAAACATAATTTTTTGGTTTTAATTTATAAATTTCGAATATAATTTTCCTAGAAACTATTGCACCTGGATATATGATTTATTCTGAGATTTATAGTGAAATTTTGTGTAGAATATTTCTTCCTTTGATGACTTTGGCCTAAAGCGAAATTTTATGTTACTTTCAGGTGTCTAATCGAAAAAAGTGAAGAAAAAATTGAATAAAAAATTGGGGAATATTTTCGGTTTTTTTTGGACATTAATTCAAGTGTATTTTAGTTATGAAGTGGAAATACGGATTTCTTTTCTTCTATGACTTATGCTGAAATTTGATGGAGAATATTTTTGTCTTTGACGTTATCCTTCCAAAGTTATGCTTTGTGGGAGAGTTTTGCATAAACTCACCTAAAGTACGGTTTTAACCCTAAAATGAGTTTTTAATATATCTGAATCCCTGGCGTTTGGGCATGATTTAGACTCTTGACGTCTTCTAGGACCTATGGTAGAATTTTATGGCCAATAATTTGGTAAAATATTTTGAGGTGCTGCGAGCCCGTTTAAGGGGAGTTTCTAAGAAATTTTTCAAAAAAGGGCCAAAAAGACCCATTTTTTGACTCGCGTGAGGTTTAAAATAGTTGATAAAAATAATCCTCATATTTTTATCAACAATATTGCCAAAGGCACTTTATACCTAAAATCAATGGATTTCGAGGTATTTTTATTCGAACATTTCAAAAAGAAGAAAAAATAAATAAATAAATAAAAATTGAAATTGAAGGAGGTGATAATTTGCCACCTCTATTTTGGTTTTATTTTTTTCATAAAAAAATTTCAATACCCCGATACAAATGTCTTCCATTTTTTACCTCGAATTTTCTAATGTGCTGCGGAATTTTTCGAACAAAATTGAATTTTGCCACCCAATGTTATTATCAAAAATTTTTTTATTAATTATTTTTTATTCAAATTATTTTTTATACCCCCCCCCTCCCCTCTTTATCTAAATCCTATTTATTACTTTTTTTCTTTCAAGGTAATTTTGAAATATTATTTGATTTATGTTATTCCACACCCACACACCAATGCATTTTTGTTTTTGTCTCCCACGGTGCATTATTGACGGCCTACGTCAATTTCAAAATTAATTCCAAATTTCAAAAATTCCAGACATGATCCCCCATAACAATCGAGTGGGATTTTCTTTTGTTTTGTTTTCTTTTCGTTTTCTTTCTATTTTTCTTCTCACTATTTTGGTTTGTCATTTCATATTTTTTTTTTTTTTTTTCGTTTTGTCTTAATCGGAAAGCAAGTCAAACAACTCGCTAATGGTGATGGTGGTGGTGGTGATAACACGGCTTGACCTTTCCGCCAAACAACGGATGGAGGCTACTTCGTTGTACAGCTGAAATGGGCACAAATCAGTGTAAAAATAGTCACTTACAATAGCGGATCGCAATTGGCAAAAAGTAGAATCGGAAAAAAATAATAAAAAAAAATTTGAAATCAAAACAAAATGAGAGTTTCTATAATTTTCCTGGCCATATTGGCTGTTGGGGTTCAGGTGGGTAAAGGAAAAAAATTAAAAGAAATATAAATATTTTCAAAATTTTATTTTTCAAACAATTTTATTTTTCAAAAAATTAAATTTTTCAAAATTGTATTTTTTTCAAAAATCCATTTTTTCAAAATTTTATTTTTTTTTCAAAAATCCATTTTTTCAAAATTTTAATTTTTCAATTTTTATCAAAATGTTGATATTTCTAAATAAATTTTTAAATAAATAAAATTTAAAAATATAAATAATATTTTTTAATTTTATTTTGTCAAAATTTTATCTTTTTTTTAAATTCCAATTTTATCAAAATTTTAATTTTTCAATTTTTTTTTCAAAATTTTGATTTTTCTAAATATTTTTTTTTCATTTTTTTTTATTTTTATAAAATTAAAAATCAAAATTTTATTATTTTTTTCAAAATTCCAATTTTTTTTTAAATTTTAATTTTTCATTTTTTTCAAAATTTTATTTTTTTTAAATATTATGTTTTCAAAATTTAATTTTTTCAATTTTTTTTTTCAAATACTTTCAAAATTACAATTTTTGGTCAAAATTTTTTCAAAATTTTAATTTTTCAATTTTTTTTTCAAAATTTTAATTTTTCTAAATATTTTTTTAAAAAAATTTTATTTTTTTTTTATTTTTATAAAATTAAAAATCAAAATTTTATTATTTTTTCAAAATTACAATTTTTTTTAAATTTTAATTTTTCAATTTTTTTCAAAATTTTGATTTTTTTAAATATTATTTTTTCAATTTTTTTTTCAAAATTTAATTTTTTCAATTTTTTTTTCAAATACTTTCAAAATTCCAATTTTGGTCAAAATCTTATTTTTTCCAGCTCTCCCTGGGTTTGGAAACTTCCCTGCTTTCCAGGAATTTCCAAAAAGATTTCCTCCAAGAGCTGCAACGTGTCATGAAACGCTCTGCCCTACAGGCCATGAATAAATATCTGCGCGACATAAAACCAACCGCCAGCCAGATGAAGGATGACACCCATCAGCATGCCTGGTCCGTGGCCATGAACTCCAAAAAATTAGGCACCAAAGTGGTCTTTCTCAAACAATGGTTTGATCTGACCGAACATCGTGATGCCAATCGTGACACCATCTATGGCCTAAGGAATGTCCTGTTCCTTGAAAAATTGAAAAATAAAATTGAGGCTCTGCAGGAGGAGAGTTTTGAGGAGATGCACAATCTACGCTACTACTACATCTGTAAACAGTACAATGTGAATGGCAGCAAACCGGAGGAGCACCGCGAGAAGCCTCATCACAATTTCTATTCACCCCATGTCCAGCTGGCTCCCCTCAACGAAGAGACCGTGGCCAATGCCCTCGAAAAATTGGGTCTCAAGGAAAATCTCACCGTCTCCATCAATGTTAAGGAGTTCGGCGAGCAGCTGTATCACAAGGTCAATCACACCGGTGCCGAACTCATCGATGATTATCTCGTGGTTATTGGCAAACTGCTCCAAGAAGTCCTCGAGAGCAAGGAGGAAACCTCGGCCAGCCACAATGAGGCCTTGGAAAAGATACTCACCGAAATTGGCCATCTGCTCAACACCACCGATCTCTACAGCAAACGCCAGCGTCTCTACGATTATCTCCAAAATCACATGTCCATGGATGTGGAAGAATTCCAAAACACCGAAACCTCGCAACAGGATTTGACGGCCATTTTCGAAAAACTCAAACAAAAGGGCTTGGATCTCATTGTGGCCTTCCTCTTCAGCAATTTCGAATTCATCGACTACACCCATGCCGAGTGGTCGGCCATGCTACCACCCGCACCCATGTCCCTGCTCAATGCCACCGATGGCTCCCGCCAACTCATGGAGATCCAGCATTTGTACGATGAGTTCAAAAAGGATTTTGAAAACGCATCCAAATACGATGCCTATTTGGAGGCTGTGCGGCAGCTGCACGAACGAAGCCAAAAGGAAAATGCTGATAGCACGCATATTTATGAGATGCTCTACAGTGCCGCACAGAATGTGGGCAGCACCCGGGTTCTGCTGATGGATGAGAAATGCAAAGAGGTTTAGTTAAGGAATGAATTGATGATCCAGTGAGGGTGGGGTGGGGCTGAAGAGGGGGAAGGGTACGATTAATGTAAGCATTATTGTGTTTACAGTTATGTGAACACGCATTACAATGATTTGGTAATGTAATATTGGTCGGAAGCAAGGCTGGCTGGCTGCATGGTCGGCTGCTTGGATAGTTGGCAAAATGGTGCTTCGCTGGTGTTATTTGGCCAAAGCCATCCAATTAAAGACCCAATGCTTTTGGAGTTTTAATTTGTATTATGCTAATGTATATTAGGGTGTAATGAATAAATTTTATGATTTTCACAAAAAAAAATATATGGATTTAAAAAAAAATAGTTTTGGATCAAAACATGGATATTTATAAAAAAATATTGGAAGGTAATTTTTAAATTTTGATTTAAAAAAAAAATTATTAAAAATTTAAATTTAAAAAATACATTTTGAGGATATCTTTCAAAGGTGGGTTTGTAAAAAAAATCCAGATTTTCAAAATTCTTGATTTTTTCAGATGTTTTTGAAAAAAAAAAAATTGAAATCATCAGAGAAATTTAAATTTTTATTAAGTATTTTTTTAACCTTCAGAAGGACATGGATTTTTTTTAAATATTTTTTTAAGCTTAAGAATTTTAGTATAGGTCTTAAGCCTTTAGACGAACGTGGATTTAAAAACCCCAAAATATTTTTTCATGGATTTAAAAAAAAATAACATAAAAAATATTTTTCATGGTTTAAAAAAACAATAGTTTTTCTAAGATTTAAAAAAATATTTTTTTTTTCAAGGACTTAAAACAAAATAAATATTTGTTCAGCCTTCCGAGAAACGTTAATTTTTTAGAAACATCTTTTAAAGCCTTTAGAGGTTCATGGATTTTTGTAAAATATTTTTCTATGCCTCCAAATGAACATGAATTTAAAAAATATATTTTGCAATCCTCAGTGGAATATGGATTTTTTAAAAATATTTTTTGAAGCTTCAGAGGAGTTTGGATTTTTAATACAGCTTTTAATTTACAAATTTAAAAAAATGAAAATAATTTGATTATTTTTTTATGAATTTAAAAACAAAAATATATATAATATTTTATCGTAGATTTAAAAAAAAAGTTAATAATTTTTAAGCATTTAGACAAACGAGAATTTCTTAAAAAGAACTTTAAAATATTTTTTTGGGAACTTTAAAAAAAATATTTCTTAAAGCGTTCAGACGAACATCTATTTAAAAAAATACATTTTTGCATGAAAAAAATTAAATATTTTGGTAAGCCTACAGAAAACGTCAATTTTCAATTAAAAAAATAATAAAAAAATGTTTTAATCCTTCAGACGAACGTTAACATATTTTTTCATGGATTTAAAAAAATTAATAAAAATATTTTTTTCAGACTACAGACGAACGTGGATTAAAAAAATATTTTTTTTATGGGCTCACAAAAAAATTAAATATTTTTTAAGCCTTCGGACAAGAGCGGATTTTATAAAAAAAATAAAAATAGTTTTTGAAAGATTAAAAAAAATAAAATCTTTTTGCTAACCTTCAGACGAACATTTTTTAAGCCTTCATAGTAACGTGGATTTTTAAATAAGTATTTTTTCAAACCTTCAGAGTAACGTGGATTTTTAAAAAAAAATATTTTTTCACACCTTCAGAGTAGCCTTCAGAGTAACGTGGATTTTTAAAAAAATATTTTTTAAACATTCATAGTAACGTGGATTTAAAAAAATATTTTTTAAACATTCATAGTAACGTGGATTTTTAAAAAGTAATTTTTTAAACCTTTAGAGTAACGTGGATTTTAAAAAAAAAAATATTTTTTCACACCTTCATAGTAACGTGGATTTTTAAAAAATAATTTTTTAAACCTTCAGAGTAACGTGGATTTTTAAAAAATAATTTTAAAACCTTCAGAGTAACGTGGATTTTAAAAAAATATTTTTTAAGCATTCATAGTAACGTGGATTTTTAAAAAATAATTTTTTAAACATTCATAGTAACGTGGATTTTTAAAAAATAATTTTTAAACCTTCAGAGTAACGTGGATTTAAAAAAAATAATTTTTTAAACCTTCATAGTAACGTGGATTTTTAAAAAATAATTTTTTAAACCTTCAGAGTAACGTGGATTTTTAAAAAATAATTTTTAAACCTTCAGAGTAACGTGGATTTAAAAAAAAATATTTTTTAAACATTCATAGTAACGTGGATTTTTAAAAAATAATTTTTAAACCTTCAGAGTAACGTGGATTTTAAAAATATATTTTTTAAGCATTCATAGTAACGTGGATTTTTACAAAATAATTTTTTAAACCTTCAGAGTAACGTGGATTTTTAAAAAATAATTTTTAAGCATTCAGAGTAACGTGGATTTTTAAAAAATAATTTTTAAACCTTCAGAGTAACGTGGATTTTTAAAAAATAATTTTTTAAACCTTCAGAGTAACGTGGATTTTAAAAAAATATTTTTTAAACATTCATAGTAACGTGGATTTTTAAAAAATATTTTTTTAAACCTTCAGAGTAACGTGGATTTTTAAAAAATATTTTTTTAAACCTTCAGAGTAACGTGGATTTTTAAAAAATAATTTTTTAAACCTTCAGAGTAACGTGGATTTTTAAAAAATAATTTTAAAACCTTCAGAGTAACGTGGATTTTAAAAAAATATTTTTTAAGCATTCATAGTAACGTGGATTTTTAAAAAATAATTTTTTAAACATTCATAGTAACGTGGATTTTTAAAAAATAATTTTTAAACCTTCAGAGTAACGTGGATTTAAAAAAAATAATTTTTTAAACCTTCATAGTAACGTGGATTTTTAAAAAATAATTTTTTAAACCTTCAGAGTAACGTGGATTTTTAAAAAATAATTTTTAAACCTTCAGAGTAACGTGGATTTAAAAAAAAATATTTTTTAAACATTCATAGTAACGTGGATTTTTAAAAAATAACTTTTAAACCTTCAGAGTAACGTGGATTTTAAAAATATATTTTTTAAGCATTCATAGTAACGTGGATTTTTACAAAATAATTTTTTAAACCTTCAGAGTAACGTGGATTTTTAAAAAATAATTTTTAAGCATTCAGAGTAACGTGGATTTTTAAAAAATAATTTTTAAACCTTCAGAGTAACGTGGATTTAAAAAAAATAATTTTTAAACCTTCAGAGTAACGTGGATTATAAAAAAATATTTTTTAAACATTCATAGTAACGTGGATTTTTAAAAAATAATTTTTTAAACCTTCAGAGTAACGTGGATTTTTAAAAAATAATTTTTTAAACCTTCAGAGTAACGTGGATTTTAAAAAATATTTTTTAAACATTCATAGTAACGTGGATTTTTAAAAAATATTTTTTTAAACCTTCAGAGTAACGTGGATTTTTAAAAAATAATTTTTTAAACCTTCAGAGTAACGTGGATTTTTAAAAAATAATTTTTAAACCTTCAGAGTAACGTGGATTTTTAAAAAATAATTTTTTAAACCTTCAGAGTAACGTGGATTTTTAAAAAATAATTTTTTAAACCTTCAGAGTAACGTGGATTTTAAAAAAATATTTTTTAAACATTCCTAGTAACGTGGATTTTTAAAAAATAATTTTTTAAACCTTCAGAGTAACATGGATTTTAAAAAAATATTTTTTAAACATTCATAGTCACGTGGATTTTTATAAAATAATTTTTAAACCTTCAGAGTAACGTGGATTTTTAAAAAATTATTTTTAAACCTGCAGAGTAACGTGGATTTTAAAAAAATATTTTTTAAACATTCATAGTAACTTGGATTTTTAAAAAATAATTTTTAAACCTTCAGAGTAACGTGGATTTTAAAAAAATATTTTTTAAACATTCATAGTAACGTGGATTTTTAAAAAATAATTTTTTAAACCTTCAGAGTAACGTGGATTTTTAAAAAATAATTTTTAAACCTTCAGAGTAACGTGGATTTTAAAAAAATATTTTTTAAACATTCATAGTAACGTGGATTTTTAAAAAATAATTTTTTAAACCTTCAGAGTAACGTGGATTTTTAAAAAATAATTTTTAAGCATTCATAGTAACGTGGATTTTTAAAAAATAATTTTTTAAACCTTCAGAGTAACGTGGATTTTTAAAAAATAATTTTTAAACCTTCAGAGTAACGTGGATTTAAAAAAAATATTTTTTAAACATTCATAGTAACGTGGATTTTAAAAAATAATTTTTAAACCTTCAGAGTAACGTGGATTTTTTAAAAATAATTTTTTAAACCTTCAGAGTAACGTGGATTTTAACAAAAAAAATATTTTTTAAACATTCATAGTAACGTGGATTTTTAAAAAATAATTTTTAAACCTTCAGAGTAACGTGGATTTTTAAAAAATAATTTTTTAAACCTTCAGAGTAACGTGGATTTTAAAAAAATATTTTTTAAACATTCATAGTAACGTGGATTTTTAAAAAATAATTTTTTAAACCTTCAGAGTAACGTGGATTTTAAAAAAATATTTTTAAACATTCATAGTAACGTGGATTTTTAAAAAATAATTTTTTAAACCTTCAGAGTAACGTGGATTTTTAAAAAATAATTTTTTAAACCTTCAGAGTAACGTGGATTTTAAAAAAATATTTTTTAAACATTCATAGTAACGTGGATTTTTAAAAAATAATTTTTTAAACCTTCAGAGTAACGTGGATTTTTAAAAAATAATTTTTAAGCATTCATAGTAACGTGGATTTTTAAAAAATAATTTTTTAAACCTTCAGAGTAACGTGGATTTTTAAAAAATAATTTTTAAACCTTCAGAGTAACGTGGATTTAAAAAAAAATATTTTTTAAACCTTCAGAGTAACGTGGATTTTTAAAAAATAATTTTTAAACCTTCAGAGTAACGTGGATTTAAAAAAAAATATTTTTAAACATTCATAGTAACGTGGATTTTTAAAAAATAATTTTAAACCTTCAGAGTAACGTGGATTTTTTAAAAATAATTTTTTAAACCTTCAGAGTAACGTGGATTTTAACAAAAAAAATATTTTTTAAACATTCATAGTAACGTGGATTTTTAAAAAATAATTTTTTAAACCTTCAGAGTAACGTGGATTTTTAAAAAATAATTTTTTAAACCTTCAGAGTAACGTGGATTTAAAAAAAATATTTTTAAACATTCATAGTAACGTGGATTTTTAAAAAATAATTTTTTAAACCTTCAGAGTAACGTGGATTTTAAAAAAATATTTTTTAAACATTCATAGTAACGTGGATTTTTAAAAATAATTTTTTAAAACCTTCAGAGTAACGTGGATTTTTAAAAAATAATTTTTTAAACCTTCAGAGTAAC